CAAGGTGGGCGCCTTAGGAAGGCTGTTGCATGTATGCTGTCTTGCATGTTTGATGAGGAGAGTGTAGAGAGAGAGATACATTCAAACACACACACACACACAATCATGCACACAGCCCCCCACCCACACAAACGCACACACAGAGAAACATATATATATATATATACATGTATATATAATACAAACAAACATACAGACAGGCATAGTTACATACACACATACAGACACAAACGTACATAAACAAACAAACATGCATACATACATACATACATATTTGTGTATATCAACATTGCTGTATACGTATGTATACATATAGCAATTATATCAACAGCAGTAACCTTCGTCAAAGTATTCAGAATAATCAGAACTTTCATCATAGTATTGTCGGTATGAATACTTGTAGCCGTCATACTGATCATAAGACAATAATTAATCCCAGAAATATCACGCTGAACGCAGTAGTAATCATAGTCGTGTCCACTATAACGATAACATAGTATGAACAACAATATTCGATAATGCTAGCTATCAAGACGATAGCAACGCAACTTATTCGTATTCATACCCGTGCCAACATTCATGATTAGAATCAGGACCATACTAACACAGGATAACATTAATCACTAATCCTACCAGCAACAACAAGAAGACTACCAATATCCACAACAATCAGCAAGACTACGAATACTCGCAACGAACACACCACCATTATCATGAAGCACATGAACAAATCACGTAAATATCTATATATGTTTATATCTGTATACATTGGGCGTGTGTCATGTGTCTGTGTGTAAACACAAATATACACAGCAGCTGCCGATAAGTCAGGTATAGCCCACGAACATGAGACATCCACTTGAGGAAGAGCCCCCTAAACCATAGACCCTAACCCTAAACCCTCGTTGAGCCCTTCAACCCTTCCGATGTTTCCTCGCACCAAAACGCACAGAAGGAGAAGACGAACGGAGGGAGATCTCCTGAAAAGGTAGCTCTAATATAGGGGCCTTTATACTTAGAATGGGGTTGTTTTAGGGGCCATTATACTAAAATACTAGTAATAAGGAACCCCCGCAAAATAGTATAGGCGACTCCTACATTACCACTCTCATCTTACTTGCCCTATGACCTGCGATGAGCGCTTTAAATCGCAACACGATAGCCTACACCCAAATTAGCCCTGAACCCTACAGCCACGAGGCTCCCAGTTTTCTGAGCAGCGTTTCGGGTTTGGAGTTTAGGGTTTAGGGTTTAAGGGTTTAGGGTTTAGTCTTTAGGGTTTGGGGGTTTAGGTTTCAGGGTTTAAGGGTTTGGGGTTTAGGGGTTTAAGGTTTGTGGTTTTGAGTTTTAGGGCTTAGGGTTGCTACACTTTTGCCCCCGATCTCAGCTCAGGCGGAGAATCTGCAGAAGTCCGTGTCCTCGACTCGCGACCGCTCTTGAGAATCCCAAAGGGTTAATATAGGGGCCTAAATAATTACCTATACTATTTTGCGGGTTCCTTCTTATATATCTATAGTAAAAAGGGCCCCAAAACCCTATTCTAATCATTAAGGCCCCTACACTAAGTACTGTTATCAATCCTAAGTACTGTTATTTAGGGACCCCAAAGCACATAAGCATAACCATTTTATAGGGATATCTACCTTATGGGGGCTTCATTATAAGGGGGTTTTGTATGGGATATCCCTGTCCTTATTTTTGCTTATGTGCTTTTTTGGGGCCTTAGTTATGGGGGATACTTCCCCAAATCAGAATAGTAATTCCTAATATAGAAATGTAAAGGTACTTTGGACCCTTTGGGAATGGTTGCGGGGCTTGGATTTCGCGGCTTATATAGGGTTTCGTGAGGTCGCGGAGGTCACGGTTTAGGATTTGGGCTTCATTGTTTTCGCAGTTTTCAGTATGGTTATCCCCAGCAAAGCACAAACCCCCAACAAAATGAGAGGAACTGGAGTGTCAAAGCCCTGAATGATTAAATACATGAATGATTCAGTTGAATTGACATGAATAAATGAATGAATGAATGAAGTGGCTTATGGCTTATGAATTCAAGGTCTGGGTTATACCTAGACTGCAGACACCAAAACACTTACGCTTAAACAAAGCCCCCCCCGGGCCCCCGATAGGATCCGAATCTTCGGGTCTCAGAGAGACTCGCAGCCCTAAGCCGTAAACCCCTAAACCCTAATCCCCTAAACCCTCAAACCGCGTCGCAAGATCCACCCAGGATCCTTTGTCATAGTTGGGTAACAGTTTACGACATTTTACATGTTTACTGATACTTAAACCCAATAAGGAATAAAGATGTAAATGTTTAATCCTATCCCAAGCATGAACTAGGATCCTGTACCCCCAAAAAATAACACTTAAAAACGAAAACAACACAAAACCCCCATAAGATCCGTAGAGACTTTGTCATAGTTGGGTAGCATTTTACAGTTTTGAGGGTGTTTGAACCCAACAAGGAATGAACATGTACATGTTTAATCCTACCCCAACAATGAACTAGGATACCAAATCCACTGAGGATCCTTTACCTGTTTATTGCTGCGCTCGCCCCGGCCATCACGCCGCTCGGCAGAGAAGATCGAGCTCATTCGGGTACATCCCTTCGAGGCTGCCTTGCCCAAGGGATCCTAAGGGTTTAGGGTTATGGGATTTAGGGCTTAGGGCTCTGGGGTATAGGGGTTTACGATTTAGTTTAGGGTTTAGGGTTGGCTGTTAACCCAAAGGGTCTTAAGTGCCTTTATAGTAGAATGTGGGGTTTCTATAATAGGAGTTACTCTTATGATTGGGGAAGTTTTGCCCTCAACAGTACCTAGGGTTTAGTTTAGGGTTTAGGGTTGGCTGTTGCCCCAAAGGGTCTTCAGTACCTTTATAGTAGAATATGGGGTTTCTATATTAGGAGTTGCTATTATGATTTGGGGAAGTGTTTGCCCACAACAGTACCTAGGACCCTTTGCCTTCAGGATTTCATGGCTGTGTGGCTCGGGGTTGTGTGGGTTTGGCTAACTTAGAAGGGTTTTGGGCTCCAAAAGGTTCTGGGGGTTACTTCCACACATACATACATACATACAGCATACATACATATAAATACAAAGGATACATACATACATACTTGCATACGTACATACACATACACATACACATACACATACACATACACATACACATATACATACATGCATATGCATCTGCTGTTGTACTTCGACATGTTCGAGCCAAATCAACCCAAGCCAAGCCAAACATCATCAAGCCCAGCTGGGCCTATAACCCCCCAAATATTCGTGTTCATACGAAGAACCTGAGTAAGCCCTCATACAGACACATGGTTTCTTGATCAGGTTCTTGTACTTGGGTTTTGTGGTTCAGGGGTCCTCGGGTATGGGAGTTTAGGGTTTGGGGCAAACCCCTCATGCAGGATTCATGGCTCGCAACCGCTGAGTCACGAGGGTATGCAAGAGGGTGGTGGGGGTGTCTAGGGTGTACAGATCCGGGCTTAGAGTTCTTGTCGTTCTGGCTGAGCTTCTTCAAGCTCGAATTTGATACCAGTGGTCCCTGGAAGATGCTACTCTACACACCAAAACTTAATCTCGCACCGAATACGAAACCGACGGGACAAGAACCTCAAGTATACACCGTCAACAGCACACTCCAAGCCATCACCTGTGTCGCTTGTGGAATAAAACCTATGACTTCGAAGACCATGGACGCCAGACCCCATAACCCAGAAGCCCTAGACCCTAACAACTTGAAGCCCTTGGCCCGAAAGCCCTAAACCCTTAACCTTGAGTGAATCTAATATGCAAGTGACTATTTAAGGATTTGTGAGGGAGTTATTTGATGTTTGATTTACGTGTTGGTTTACATTTCGCGTGTATGCTTAGTCACGCTTGCTGTCTCAGGGTCCCAAAGCAGGTATTTACGATTTGTTTGTAGTTATTTGAGCTTACCACGTACGTTTGTATATCTTTCTTTTGTGTGTTTGTTGAGTGGCTCCGGCCTTCGGGCTAGCAAAACCGTTAACAAAGCCATAGTTGTTCATGATGTTGCTATGATATTATCCCTGGGCCTTGGATTTAAAGGGAGGGGCGGGCTAGCAAAATCATACGCACACCATTGAACAACAAGAAAAGTCATGCAACCTAATACCCCAAGCAGACATGCTCCAAGCCCCGAAACCCAAGACCCCTCAAGGCCCCTACCCCCCCTCCCCCACTCATGTTCCTAAACCCTTTGACCCCAAACCCTAAATCCTAAAACTGTATAAACGCTAAACCCTGAAACCCCAAACCCCCAAACCCTACACCCTAAACCCCAACTGAAGCCTTCATGTTCCTGAGGTTTGGAAGCCGCTTCCTTGACGGCACGAACGGCCAGTTTGGGGTTCTTGAGCAGCTTGGGCCCACATGGGTTAAGTGTTTATAGGGTGTGGGGTTTATACGGTTTAGTGCTTCTAGGGCCTCTAGGGTTTAGTATTTCTAGGGCGCAGTGTTTAGAGGGTGTAGGATTCATGGGCTTTGGATTCGGGGTTTACCGTTTTTTTTTAACTTTTTGAGGTATGTAAGTTTTTGCAGCTCAGCTGCCCTCTCTGTCTTTGTGGGTTGTGCCCGGATCGAGCGGTGCCCTGTTCTCTTCCGTGCCTTAGACAAGATGTAACCTTTTTGCGTTAACATGTAGGGTCCATCGTCTAGAGTCTAGAGTGTATGGAGATGAGGGTTTAGGATATGTCGGGCCTGAAACTCTTAAATCCTAAAACTCTTAGTCCTAAACCCTAAGGGTCCATGTATTCATATAGTATATACATTGGCCTTAACGTACTCCCTATATAGATACATTGGGCCCAAAGTATACACTGTTTGGGCACATGGACCCTTAGGGAAACCAAAACCCTAAACCTTAAACCCTAAACACGAGGATGATCGTATGGAGTTTAGGATTGAGGATATTTCGGGCCTGAAACTCTTAAATCCTAAAACTCTTAAACCGTAAAGCCGAGGATGATCATGTCCACATCCATCAGCGGCCTCATCTTCTCCACCTTCTCCGGGCAGCCCCTCTCCATCCTCGGAGCAACCGGCCCCTTCCTTGCGTACAGCCTGGTGGCTTGGCCTGTTCGACAAAAGAACTAGTAACTAGAGTCTAGGGTTCGGGGTGTGTTAGAGTTTAGGGTTTTTTAGGATTTAAGGTTTTTTTACGGCGCCTGGCCAGGCATTTAGGGTTTAGGGCCGGACGAGGGTTCAGAGGTTGGAAGTTCAAGGACTAGGGTTTAGGGGTTTAGGAGTTTAGGGATTTAGGGTTTGGCGTATAGTTCTCAGACTCGATGTCGAAGGTTGTCTATGATCTGGCCATCGCGGTCGACGTGGAGTTCATGGTATTTTACTTCTGGGTCGCTCAGCCGTCGTCAAGTGGCGTTGCACTTTTTTGTACCTGGATACTCATACCTGCGCGGTAGACCGCAACTTGCAAGGCTTAAAGCTGAAACGGCAAACGGTGAACCTTAAAGTATCGAAAGGTCTGCATGTGGTGCTCGCTCTTCACCATCCTGGTGGCAGTGTTCGACCTGTGCGCGCTGATGAAGCATGTCACCATGTTCCTTTCCGGGAACATGGTTTAGGGTGTAGGGTCGAAGTTGGCTGTTTGTTTTATATAGTCTTTTGGTTTCTGACAAGAAGTCTCCATTGTGGTTTCCTTGTTTGGGTTACCTTGTTAGGATCCTTACTATAGATTTGGTTAAGCCAGAAAAAGGAACTACAATGGAGACTGTAGGTAAATCAATCGTGGGAAAGCCCCAAGGTTCCAGTTCGCCATAGTTCCAGACAGACCCTAAACTGAGAAGCTGCCCCCACCCTGTAATAGTGGAATAATAGGAATATAATAGGGCCCTAATATAGTCCTTATGGTCACTATTACAGGGTGGGGGCAGCTTATAACCCTAAACCCTCAGAACTCAGGTTTTCCGAAGATATCTTCGCCGGGCTGATCTCTTTGATCTTCATCATCGATGGGGCCAGGCCTCCAGTAACCCAGGTAATGTAGGGGCCTTCATACTCAGAATAGGGTTCCCTTTAAAGGGGTCTATAAGGGCTACTATATTGGCTACTATAAGGATTTAGCATTGAGGCCTCCAGTAACCCAGGGTTAGCACATGAATGGAAGGTGGCAGATCTTGGTCTCCGAGGGTTGAGGTTGAATTCCGGTTGAATTCAGGACAGACAGGGTTCATCAGACCGGACTAAGCCTAGACTCCTAGACTGTCCCGAGCATTCTCGTCCGCAGGCCACTCATCGAGAATTTCACGGAAAGCCGCATGCCGCTCGTGAGTGCCATGTTCGAAATGTTGCTTTTCCTGTATACTTTCGGACTTGCGACATGGCTGTCGCAATTCCGGCGCAAGCCTTGGTCCTTCCGTTTCGTGCGCAACTTCCTGGCCAACTTCGCAGTGACGATCGCATTGATTACGGCTTCAGCTTTCGCCGCCATCTACTCCGAGGAAACCAACCTCAGGATGTTGCAGGTGGTGTCGGTGCAAAGCCTAGGGAGACCTGACCAAGTTCCAACTCAGATTCCGAAACCCTAAACCCTAAATCGTGGAATCCACCATCGGGACCCCCCTCCCCACCACCCACAATGACTCAATATTGAACAGCCAGCAGCCAGCAGGTGGATGCAGACTTCTCCCCAAACCTCGTTCTCTCCGACGGCAGCAAGCGGCCTTGGATCGTAAATCCGGCGGGCATTGACCGCCCCTTTCCGGCCTGGGGCATTGCATATGCTATCCTGCCAGTGACTTGTCTTGACAAGATTGTGCTGAGTTGGGTAGTTGAGGGATTCCTTTCACGCAACAATCCTGAGTGAGCCTTGTTGCAGTTTGATGCATGTTTAAGGTGCAGGTTTGCAACATGTTCACCTAAACCCTCAAAAGTGGTAAAATGATGGCCCAACACCCTTGGAAAGGCTATTGTTCTACATACTTTTGGGATCCAGGCAAGTATTTATATCGGGAGTTTCCACGAACAGGAGCCTGAAACTTTGTATCGGCAGCTGCTCCCAATGATTGAGTGCAAGCTGAAGCACGACCCAGGCGATTGGATTTGCAGTCCTCGGATACCTGGACCAGAACTTGACATCTGTGATCGTGAACAGGCAGGCTAGATCCCTCAGCCTTAACCTCTTTTGGTTGATAGTGAACTAGGGTAAGAGCCGCTCAACCAGAAACCTGATGCCTTGAACCCTGAACACAGAAGCCCTTAAAGCAGAAATCAACCCAGCAGCCCCGGATCCCACGAACAGGCCGGCCAACGGCCTTTCGAAGCCACCCGGATACCACTTGGACCTCTTCGTCCGAGGTGGGAATGGTCCTAGACTTGAGGGTGGGGAAATTCGGGTGTAGTGTTCAGGCCTTGAGGGTTTGAGGGTTTTCCAGGAGTTTGGGGTTTCTTGGGTCGTGACTTGTCTAGGTTCCTTTACATCCAAATTGCCTAAGATAGATAGGGCTCAAGCCTTGAGTTGTTTACTTAAGACGGGCAGTTTATTTATTAAAATCAGAATACCAGAAGGGACGAAGGCCACAACATGCGGGTTTCTCAAACTTATGTACAGGTAAGTAGCTTGCGTAGGCGTCCTTGGCTCCTAAGGAAAATGACGGTGTACATCAGGGCGCCTTATAGTTCTGAACGTCCCATAAGCTCCTACAGAGGCCTCGTAAAATCCGTATAGAGAACTTATACAGTCCGTCTTACAGCAAGCCTGCTGTTAGACAGTTAGTAAGACCTTGACTTTTTAGTTGCTATTCCCTAAATATAGTTTAGCATATGTCACATCCTAGCACCAGGAGCCCTGACACTTCCTGTCTGCGCCGTCCTGGGCCTGCCCCTCTCTGTGGCCTCGACAGTGCCAAGCATCACCCATGCGACCTGGCGGAAATGGGCGGGTTTTCGATTAGACAGGGCTCCTTGCGGTAACTGTGTAGAGCGATTTTTGTTTATAGTAGCCCGGTATCCAAAATACTACGCCGATCCTGCAAACAGTACGTAAGGATTCTGAAAGGGAGCCTAGAGCTAGCAAATTGCTCATCTTCTGACGCAGCACCCGTTCTTGCGATGCCCTAAGCTTTCGTCAAACACTCTAGTGCCCTCAAGCTCCTAAGCCCCTGTGCCAAGTGTTTTCGTTGATTCTTGTGCGATCAAACCTCGCAACCACTAAATGCCCACCCGAGTGGTGTCAAATCTCCAACACCTTTTACCCACCCATCCAGAACCCCACAGAACCCTTTAAGAAATCTGAAGCCCTAAAATCTAAACCCAGCCTAAACCCTAAACCCACCCTTAACCCTGATCCCTAGACCCGAAACCCACCCTAAACCCTATATAAGACCGAAACCCACTCTAAACCCTCATCCCTAAACCCTAAACCCACCCTCTGCCTAACCCCTAAACCCTTAACCATTTAATCCAGGCCTCATAGGCTCCATCCATATGGGAACTTCCGAAAGTAGGGCACCCAAAAAAAGAACCCAAAATAGTAGGATCCTTATTATAAGGACCCCAAAGTATATCCCCAAGAAGGTGATCTCTCTGACCACCTATGATGTGAAGCAGCTCCCGGAGGGCGAGCGCAAGGTCCCAACCAAGGCCGGGGGATGCTCATCGCACCCCTTCGGATCCGAAGTACCTGCGAGGGCCGTTTGGGTTTGGGGTTTAGCGGTTTAGGGGCTTTTGGGTTTAGGGTTTAGGGTTTGGGGTTTAGGGCCTTTTGGGTTTAGAGGTTAGGGTTTGGGGTTTGGGGTTTAGGGTTTAGGGGTTCAGGGGTTTGGGCTTCAGGGGTTTAGGGTTAAGAGCTGCAAGGGCCTCTTAGGTCTGGGGCTGCTAGACTTATAGTAAGGAAACTCGAAAATGCGGTTGATGATATATATATATATATATATATATATATCCCTAGGGTTCCTTTAAACGGATCTATAGGGGGTTCCCTTTAAGGGATCTATAGGGTTTTGGGGTTTAGGGTTCAGGGTTGATGATATAGATCCAGCATGACCTTAAGGACCCTAGACTATGGGAATTATGGTATATTCCTTATTATGGGTATTGCAGGATTTGTATCATCAGCAGTAGTAGTAGAATTGCAATAGGGACCAAAATAGTACAGGTATTCATCAGGCCCCTATATTAAGGGGTTATAAGTTATAAGGTTCGGATTCGAAACACCTGCCTTCAATTGGCTCCAAGGGTGGGGGGAAGCTGGGTGGGGTAATCCCGAATAAGAGTCCTTACGTAAGGGATCCTTCATCCTACCTACCTTCATCCCGCCTTTTGAGGCCTCCAATGCGAGTGCCTTTGGAGTTTAGGGTGTAGGATCTGACTTACTAGTCTGCAGAGGCCTGCAGAGGCTCTCGGTGTTAGTGACCAGGGTACCAATTCCTACTGACGTTTTGTGTTCAGGATCCTACTTACTAGCTGACGACCTACGAAGACCTCAGTGTTTGGGGTTTCGAATCCTACTAACTGTAGGTATTTTGCTGGAGCTGTGAGGGTTTAGGGTTGGTCTGTAGACAGGCTTTTAGGTCTTGGGCTTTAGGGCTTGGGGATGTTCAGGGTGCAGCGTGCCAGTGCAGTACATTGCAGGGTTTCAGCTTATGACTGTTGAACGTGTACCGTCAGGGTCCAAGTGCAGTCGGATGTTGAGTATCAAGGCCATTCAGTGCACAGTATGTGGGACCTCTATCCCCGCTAGTTTGGTACTTGAACCCTCTGCGTAAGTGTAACGTGTAACCCAACACTACCCTAACCTCGAACAACCCACCTTTATGAAGACATAAATCAAGAAATCATATTCGCGAGGAGCCCTAAAAGGTATGTTTCTTAGGGTCCAGGTAAACCTTGAATCCGGAACCGTTAGGTACTAGGGACCTCCGGGCATCCGTCTGTGTTAGGAGTTTAGGATTTTTTAAGACTCAATGACGACAGCAGGTTCTTGGTTCAGAGCTTTGGGTTAGGATTTCCGGTTTCGCTAACATCCAGCACACTGACTAAATCTGTCAAGGTATCTCTGAAAGCGCCTGCAGGAAAAGACGGCTGAAGTGATCACTGGTTTACATTAAAATCATCAGCATGAAGTTCCTTCAAACCCTAAACCCTAAACCCTGAACCCTAACTGATGCCTCTGTGGTGGTGGTGCCGTCTTGGTCTTTCTTGAACTTCCAGCTCTGTCTGAACCCTAATCTGGTTCTTCGGTTGTGAAGATCACATGTCGAGGTTTGGGGTTTAACAGGGTCTGAGTTGCGGATTTATGGTCTGGGGATGTTTAGGGTTTCGGGAAAAGGGTCGAGGGTTTCGGGTAAAGGGTCGAGCCTACATCTTCGACTGCATCAGAACCTGAATTCCCAAAACCCTCAACACTCATACCCCCTTCCTGGGGCTTGCGTGGTTCTCACCACCACACCCTGCCACTGAAGAGGTGGTGGAGCAGCGCGCTACGAACTTCCTGATCCCTGGCTCTAGTGTTTGTAGGGTTTGCCTGGTGTTTGATGCTTTGGCATTTGCTGGGGTTTGGGCGTTTAGGGGTTCAGGTGTGTGGGGCTCAGGGCTTTATAGGATTTGGGATTTGAGGGTTCAGCACTTTGCAGAGTAGGATGTTGGGATTTAAGGGACTACCCTAGGGCTCCATAGTAGTTCCTTTTTGGTTCTACATCAGACCCCAAACCCTGGAAGAGAGCATCGATGAGGATCCATGTGCTCATCGGACTGGCGCTGCTGTTGGCCCCAGTGCTGAAGCGCCTCGGGAGAGTAATGTAGAACCAGATTTTTGTCCTTAACCCTTTGCGCCGAACCAGAACCACAGGGTTTAGATCAACAAGGCTTATATGAAAGGAACCCAAAATCTCATTTTTGTATGTGGTTGGCTTTATTTGTGTTTAAAAGTGTTTTTTTTTTGTATTTAAAAGTATTGTTTTGTATTTAAAAGTTTTTAAATAGGTTTTTTTGTGTTTTACAGTTGTTAAAATTCTTTTATTTTATTTTTGGTGTAAAAAATACATGTTTGTGAATTTTGTTTCTGAGTGAGTCAATTGGCTTCCTGTTGTTCTACCTGGTTTCCTGCTGCTGTATGTCTACAAAATTGTTGTTTATTTGTTGTTGACGTTAATAATTTTTAATATTTAATCTTTTTAAATAGTTTTGGGTTGTGATTGAACAAAGAAGGGAGGCCGTAGTGACATGTTGACTTGCCTTGAGATCTTGCCCTTACCCACACGGATCGACTGCCCTTCTCGGTTCGTGGGCACCGTTGGCCGGGTGTCAGGTTCTGAGGCGATTGTATCTAGACCGCCTTGGGGCCAACGTGCCAGGGCAGTGGCATATGACACCCGGACAAATGGGCTAAAGTGCCGGGTGGGGCGGTTGAGGGGTTGTTGGCAGCCGTGCTTACAGCCTTGAAGGGGAGGCCATCCATGCTTGTCGTCACGTTTTGTTAGGGAGCCTTGCGACTTGGATCGACAGAGGCAGAGTGCCACCTTACCCACACGGATCGACTGCCCATCTCGGTTCGTGGCCACCGTTGGCCGGGTGTCAGGTGTTGTCGATGGTACCTGGACCGCCTTGGGGCCAACGTGCCAGGGCAGTGGCATATGACACCCGGGCACATGGGCTAAAGTGCTGGGTGGGGTGGTCCAGTGGTTGTGGCTTTTTTTTTTTTCTCCCAACCAGGAGGGGAGGCCATCCATGCTTGTCACGTTAGTTAGGGAGCCTTGCGACTTGGATCGACAGAGGCAGAGTGCCAGTAGAGCCTCTCGAGGTTGCCTTACTTAAGTCCCTGCCCCATCGGGGTTGCTCCCCACACCGTTGGCCAGGTCTAAGTGTTCGGTTTGAATCCAAGCCTAGTGAACGCCTTCTCTTCCATTTCCTTCTCTCCCATCGGTCGTCATCGGCTTCCAGCCCATCGAGAAGTGGATGCCAACTGCTGGGATCTCAGCATCAGCTTGCTTCAGCTACTTCCATTATTATGGTACAGTCCTGGCACCGAGGCTCATGACGATGATCCTGAGGACATGCTGCCATCGCAGAGGACAAGCTGCCTTGCATAGTCAGTGAGCGTGTCATGTATCGCAACTTGCCGCTGCAGCAGTTGTGCTCGCTGTTGCCCTGCGTAATCTACTATAGTCGTGTTACAGCTGCTCTGTCTCAAGTCTAAGTCGTAGTAGGCCCCCCCTGCAAGCCGGCAGATGTCGTCCACGTCGTGGAGTGACAGTGAGTCTGTGGGCTCGGACTGGGTTCTGGTTGACGATGAGGGTGCAAGCACTGCGGGCTCGGTCGCGGACAGTTTTGACGACGATGATTCTGTGATTCCGTTCGACACGATGCTAGAGGAGTGCTTTACGACATTCTGGATGTTTCTGAATTCTCAATAGCGTGGGCAAGTCTTGCAAGTAGCCTGGTCTGTCAATGAGCAGATCATGTTCACACTCTTTCCGAGACTTCGGCGGGATTTTCGGCAAGGCAGAGTGCCAGTAATTTTATATTACAATGTGTCAGACGAATTTCTGGCGTTACTGCTTCAATGATTTGTCGTGTTTGTACAGCCTCCGAGACCGTATTACGGATGTTGGGGAAGGCAGAGTGCCGGGTTTGCGTGTGTTTAGAGGATTTTGAATTCGACGATCTCGCCAGCAGAGCTAGACTGTCCGATTTGAGACCTCAGCGGTCGTGTGCGCAACTTGGATTCAAAACGGTTACCCAGCATGACATGCTGACTACACAGTGCCGGGTGGCAGTGATGTCCTCAGGACCCTGCTGTCTCCGAGGCTGGCTGCCTGCCTGCCTGCCTGCATAGTCTGTCAGTGAGTTGCCTTGCACCATACAATAATCGACATCTGTCTGCCGGCCAGGGAATCAAGTGATTCATTCATACTGATGTAA